GTGGTGTTGAGTGCCCGTGAGTGGTGACGAGCGGTGACGAGTGGTGATGAACGGTGTAGTCTGTCTACGGTGTGACGTTGATGTCCGTCTCCCGCCTCTCGACTACTGCAAACAAGGATGCCTTGAGCATCATGGAAACGGTTGTGAGGACTGTACAACACTGGTGGTTGTGCTTGTCTAGTGATTCTTAACCATTTGTGTCATCCCAACGATCAAGATAGGTTCAACGTGTTTCATTTCTTCGCATAGCATCCTCTTGTATCACTTTACCGTACATGGTGCAAAAATTCTGGGACAAAGCATTCTGAACTTCAGCAGCAGCACAAACAATGACATCGGCAGCAACAGCAGGGCAGCAGTAGCAAGCAGCAACAGCAGAGCAGCAGCAAGCAGCAGTGACGGCAGCAGCAGTAGCAAGCATTGACGGGAGGCAGCAGCAGGAAGCAAGCAAGCTTGACAGCAGCAGCCAGGAGCAAGCGAGTAGTGACAGCAGCAGCAGGAGCAAGCAAAGCAGTGACTGCAGCAGCAGGAGTAAGCAAGCAGTGACGGCAGCAGCAGGAGTAAGCAAGCAGTGACGGCAGCAGCAGGAGTAAGCAAGCAGTGACGGCAGCAGCAGGAGAAGCAAGCAGTGTCGGCAGCAGCAGTAGCAAGCAAGCAGTGACGGCAGTAGCAGGAGCAAGCTAGCAGGGTTTAAAGGTGTATAGCGACTGGCCGACTTTCCCGCAGTTGTATTGCAAGGGGGAGCTGGTTGGGGGGTGTGATATTGTGCTGCAGATGCACGAGAGTGGGGAGTTGAAAGAGGTGTTTGCAGAGAAAGGGGTGCTGGGAGGGGCGGGGAAGGGAGATGCACCAGGAGCAGTGACGGCAGCAGCAGCAGCAGCAGCGGCGGATGGGCAGGTTGATGGGGCGAAGGGGTTGCAAGAGCGGCTGAAGGCACTCCTCTCGTCTTCGCCTACCATGCTGTTCATGAAGGTATGTTGGAGTAGAGTGGGTTGGGGCGTATGTGATAATCTGTATCGTCCTGCCTTAGCTAATTAAGATGATTGAAGGCACTCGTCTCGTCGTCGCCTTCCTCTCATCCCTTCCTCTCATCCCTTCCTCTCATCCCTTCCTCTCATCCCTTCCTCTCATCCTTCCTCTCATCCCGTCCTCTCTGCTGCGTTACCTCTCAGGGAACACCGGAGGAGCCGCGGTGTGGGTTCAGCCGCAAGGTGGTTGATGCAGTCCAGTCAGACATGGACTCATCGCATGTTTCCTTCCTTCTTCCCATGGCTTGTCCTCACGGCCTTGCCTTGCTTTCCCAGGGCACACCAGAGTAGCCGCAGTGTGGGTTCAGCCGCAAGGTGGTGGATGCACTCACGTCAGAAGGTATTTCCTTTGGCAGTTTTGACATTCTCAGACGAGGCAGTGCGGCAGGGGCTGAACACATGCCTTTACACCCCCCCCAACCCCCCCTTCCCCTGCCTTCCTGTGCTATGTTACCCATGACCATCCCCATCCCTTGTTATTCAGGGAACACCGCAGGAGCCGCGGTGTGGGTTCAGCCGCAAGGTGGTGGATGCAGTCAAGTCAGACATGGACTCATCGCATGTTTCCCCCCCCCTCCTCTTCCCCCCTTCTTCCCCCCCTCTTCCCCCCCTCTTCCCCCCCCTCTCTCCCCCCCTCTTCCCCATGGCTTGTCCTCACGGCCTTGCCTTGCTTTCCCAGGGCACACCCGAGGAGCCGCGGTGTGGGTTTCAGCCGCAAGGTGGTGGATGCACTCACGTCAGAAGGTATTTCCTTTGGCAGTTTTGACATTCTCACGGAATGAAGCAGTGAGGCAGGGCTGAAGGAGCTCTCCAATTGGCCCACGTACCCCCAGGTGTACCACAAGGGCGAGCTGATTGCGTGGATGCGATATTGTGCTTGAAATGAAGGCTAATGGGGAGCTTAAAGCCGAGCTTGGAGGGTGAAGTTCACTGTACTGTGTAGCTAAATCATTTTCATATACCCGGTAGTACCAAGGTAGAGCTGATTGGCATCTGTTTTTGAACCAGGGTAAAAACAATGTGCCCATCTTTTGTGTCACTCTTAGTCCGATATGCCACTTTTTCCTCCAAGCTCCAACAGCAACAGATGCTACTACAGCCTGAAAATCATGCTCCAACAGCTTCATTTTTATCCTGCAGCAATGAATTGGCGCAGACGACTCTCAAGGTCAGGTCAAAAGTCAGCTGGTACGGCCAGTCCTACCATTATGCAAACACTCGTCAGAGACACGACAGCTAGAGTCCTGCGAACCAACGCTCACGTAAAGCACAATGCCTAACACAATCGTCCTAAATACGCTTAGCATGTGAGCGTTTGCTTTCACAAAAAGTTAACTCCCATGACTGTACCCTCCAGCACAGTTGTCGATCGCATACGGATGGCCATGGGTGGGTAGGGTCTAGGGATGGATGGCAAGTTGGCAATGACCAATGCCGATCACTCATCGAGGTACGGTAGTGTAGGTGCCACTGCCAGCAGACTTGTGCTCCCCATCCCATGAGTGCACCCTTTCATGGGCATGCCAAAACGGCCAATGCCATGCCCACACTCAGTCGTCCAGGTAGTAGTAGGTGCCGGCACTCTTCTGCTCGCGGTCCTTGACAGAATCCATCTTGTTGATGCGCGGCCGAAAGTTGGTGGGGGTCGCGCCGGAACGTGATGTCCAGTTGCTGGGGGGGGGGAGGGTGGTGGTGGTTGGGGGTGGGAGGAAACGATGGTTGTGAGGGGCACGGTAGCGAGAAGAGGTGAAAACGGGAGGGAGAAAGGGGTTCCATGAGTGCACCTACAAGCGCACAGCTCCCTTGGGCATGCCGGAAGAGGTTCATGCCGCTGTTGAGCGACTTGAGGAGTGCAAGCCGTGCAATCCACGGACGGCTGCCCCTCGTAGACAATCACGCGGTCCGCCAGGTACGTGGCCATGATGAAGTCGTGCTCCACCACAAAGGGGGGTTCTCACTCACACAGCAAGCAACAAGGGGTCTCTCACCGAGAGGAAGAGGTTCATGCCGCTGTTGAGCGACTGGGGCGTGCGCGCCGTGCAGTCCACCGACGGCTGCCCCTCGTACACGATGACGCGGTCCGCCAGGTACGTGGCCATGATGAAGTCGTGCTCCACCACAAACGCCGTCTTCTTGGCGTGCAGGATGAAGCGCTTGATCACCTTGGCCGCCACAATGCGCTGCTCTGAATCCAAGTAGGCTGAGGGTTCATCAATCAGGTAGATGTCGGCAGGCTGGGAGGAAAGGGGGTGTGGGGGGTTGGAAGTGGAAGTGGAATGTTAAAGGGAGGGGAGGGATGAACGGCTTGATCACCTTGGCTGCCACGATGCGCTGCTCCGAATCCAGATAGGCCGAGGGCTCGTCTATGAGGTAGATGTCGGCAGGCTGGGAGGAGAGAGAAGAAGGAACGCATGTGCAGGATGAACGGCTTGATGACCTTGACCGTCACGATGCACTGCTCTTGAGTCGAGGATAGGCCGAGGGTTCATCGATCAGATAGATGTCGGCAGGCTGGAGAAAGGAGAAAGTGGAAGAGGGGGAGAAAGGGAAAAAAGGGAAGGATGGAACCGCTTGATGACCGTGGCTGCCACAATGCACTGCTCTTGAGTCGAGATAGGCCGATGGATCGTCAATGAGGTAGATGCCACCAAGGCAGAGGAAATAGCGACGCACCTTCCCAAAAAGAGGGAAATAGCGACGCACCTTCCCAAGGCAGAGGGAAATAGCCACACGCTGCAACTCTCCTCCTGACAAATTCACCACCTCCTGGTCGAGCAGGGGGTCGATCTGCATGGGGCAACTTCTGAGCCGCCCCAGAACCGCCCCAAACCACCTTGAACCGCCGCAGTCTCCAAGAGAGAGTTGACCAACCCACCCACTCCTTCCTTACCTTTCCCAGACAAAGGGTAATAGCCACGCGCTGCAGCTCCCCACCCGACAAATTCACCACCTCCTGGTCCCAGGAGCGGGTCGATCTGCATGGGGCGCAGCACGTCGGTGTTGAACTGCGGGTGGTGGAACGAGTCTCGGATCTTGGAGTGCAGCAGCGCGCGCACAGCTGTGGGGGAACTTGGGGGAGATCTTCTGCGGCTTGTACGACACGTTGAACTCCGGGAGGTCCTCGGGCCTCCTTGCCGGTCTCCTCGTCCGGGTCAGCCTTTAAGAGACCAGCCTGTAAGGGGTTGAGAAGGACACAGGAGAGCGGAAAGGAGAGGAACGAGAGGGTATGAGAGGGGGAACTTGCGGCTGATCTTCTGCGGCTTGTACGACACGTTGAACTCCGGGAGGTCCTCAGCTTCTTTCCCGGTCTCCTCGTCGGATCTGCCTCAAGAGGCCGGCCTGGAGGGGTTCAGAACGAGACAGGAGAGGAGAGGGGAGGAGGGAGGAGAGTAACGCAGAAAACTTGGGCTGGGCTGGTCTTCTGCGGCCTGTACAACACACTGAAATCCGGGAGATCTTCGGCTTCCTTGCCAGTTGATTCGTCCGGGTCGGCCTTTAACAGACCAGCCTGCGTGATACAAGGGAGAAGGGAGACAAGGCACGGGGGATCGAAGTGGAAAGGGAAGAAAAAGGGACGGAGAATGAGAATGGGAAGGGAATCTTGGGGCTGGGCTGGTCTTCTGCGGCCTGTACAACACACTGAAATCCGGGAGATCTTCGGCTTCCTTGCCAGTTGATTCGTCCGGGTCGGCCTTTAACAGACCAGCCTGCGTGATACAAGGGAGAAGGGAGACAAGGCACGGCGGCATCGAAGTGGAAAGGGAAGAAAAAGGGACGGAGAATGAGAATGGGAAGGGAAACTTGGGGCTGGGCTGGTCTTCTGCGGCTGTACGACGCGTTTGAAACTCGGGAAAACCTTGGGCCTCCTTGCGGTTTCCTCATCTGGGTCCGGCCTTGAGAGAGCCGCCTGGGAAGGGAGAGAGGAGGGATGGAAGATGGATCATGGAAGGGACAGGGAGGAGAGAGAGCCAAAGAGACGTGCAAGCTGGCGATATTGGGAGACGCGGAAACGGGAAGGAAACGGGAATTTAGGAGCCAACGACTAGCCCAACCGGTATGCATATGACACAAGAGTCGGCCTATTAGCTCTTCGGAAGCATGTGGCATGGTGCGGGCACATGCAAGTTGGGCTACCGGCCTACCACCAGCCATGCACAGGTGAGAGAGTTGGCCTACCAGCATGCGGATAAAGGTGGTTTCGCCGGTGCCATTCTCCCCCAGCATCACCACGATCTGCGAGTCTGTGCCTTGCGTCCACTGCCATCCCTACCTATGGTGCACACATGTGCCTACCAGCATGCGCACCCATGAGAGACAGCTTCCCTACCAGCATGCGGATAAAGGTGGTCTTGCCGGTGCCGTTCTCCCCCAGCATCACCACGATCTGTGAGTCCGTGAAGTCACCAGGTTCCACCGTCAGCTTGAATCCGCCCTGCTTCTTGACCATGCGCGGGTACTTGTAGCGCGTGTACGTCTTGGCCTCTTCAGGGTTATCGACTGGGGTTTCAGCAACCTGAGATGGAATGGAGAGGGGGGGGAGGGGAAGGAGGGGCTTGAACCCGCCCTGCTTCTTGACCATGCGCGGGTACTTGTAGCGCGTGTACGTCTTGGCTTCTTCAGGATTATCCACCGGGGTTTCAGCCACCTGATGGGAGCAATGATGGGTTGAGATGGGTCAGAAATAAGGGTAATTTAGCTGCAAAGCTTGAACCCGCCCTGCTTCTTGATCATGCGCGGGTACTTGTACCGCGTGTACGTCTTGGCCTCTTCAGGATTATCCACCGGGGTTTCAGCCACCTGAGATGGAATGAAGGGGGGTGAAAGAATGGAGTGAGGGAGGGGAAGGAGGAGGTTGAACCCGCCGTGCTTCTTGATCATGCCCAAATACCTGTACCGAACCGACTGTACGTCTTGGCCTCCCTCCTCAGGATTATCCACCAGGGTTTTCGTCCCCTGATGGGAGGGGGAAAGGAGAAGAGGCACGGCGGAGGAGAGGGAGTGGAGGGGAGGAAAGGAGTGCTTTGAGGAACCTGAGACAGCACACAGAGAGCTTCAACACGCCCTGCTTCTTGATCATGCGTGGGTACTTGTACCAAGTATATGTCTTGGCCTCGTCCGTTTCTTCCAACTTCTGAAAATGAATGAGCTTTTCGTCTCAAAAATGTGGGTCTGACTTCTGAGTCGACTTTTGTGTCTTAAGTCGGCTCAAAAGATGAAAAAAAAATATGCTCATGCCCTATCTAACGAAGTTGGAAACTGAGGCAAGGAAGAAACATCCATTCACAAAGAGGAGCGACAGACAAGCAGACCCACACGGAAGGTGAGCGACTCGTCTTGAAAACGCAGGTTTCCAGCTGGTATGAAGCCGGCAAGAAAGATGTTCATTCCCTCGAGCACAGAGAAACACAAAATTCCCCTCTTTCAAGTCAACACCTAAAGCAGACTCACCCTGAAGGTGAGCGGCTCGTCTCGGAAGCGCAGGTTCTCGGTCAGAACAAAGCCGGCAAGGAAGATGTTGATGCCCCCTCGCACTGCTGATTGAATTCTAAAGGTGTGCCTGCAATATGAAAATTTTGATGTCCCGACGGACACGGTGACACCCTCACGGCAGACTCACCCTGAATGTGAGCGACTCGTCTCGGAAGCGCAGGTTCTCGGTTGGCACGAAGCCAGCCAGGAAGATGTTGATGCCCTCTCGCACGGAGAAGGGCAGCGTGACCACCCCGTAGGCACCGGGCTTGCCGTAGAGGCAGCAGATGAAGTCCGAGAGATAGTCGAGCACACTGAGATCGTGCTCCACCACAATGACGTATCTGGGGGGGATGGGGATGATGGAATGGGGAGTGAGTGGGCAGGGCAGTGGGTGCATGGGGTGATAGCGCAGAAAAAACCGCCCCTGTATGCCCCTGGCTTGCCGTAGAGGCAGCACATGAAGTGGGAGAGATAGTCGAGCACACTCAGGTCACGCTCCACCACAATCACGTATCTGGAACGGTGGGGGATGCATGGAGGAATGGGGGAATGAAAGGGAGCAAGGGAAAGGGCAGTGGTGTAACAATATCGTACCACTGGTTTCATATTCCTATTCGATGTTCAAGTATTTTAGCACTAATGGATTTGGTTCAACTAGCTTGTTATTCGGTTACATATTGACTCCCTTCGAGGGGTTCAAGAACTTACTAAGGGAGTCAATATGTAACCGAATGACCAGCTATTTGAATCAAATCCAACAGTGTTTAAATACTTGAGCATTGAATAGGAATATGAAACAAATGACCAGCTATGACCAGCTATTTGAATCCCTCTTTCCCTTGCTCTATCCACCAACCATTGATCGCACCTGTTCGGACCACTGACCATACCTGTCGGGGCGCAGCAGCGAGCGGATGACCTGCGCTGCCTTCAATCGCTGCCGCACGTCCAGGTAGCTGGAAGGCTCATCGAACATGTAGATGTCTCCCAGCTGCCCCGCCACCACTTCCAATGGCAAACCGCTTGCAGCTCGCCTCCTGACAGATGCTCCACCTCACGCTCCCACACCTGAAAGGAGTGGTGAATCGGGATGAGGATAGGTGATTAGGTGGGAAGAGGAGAGGGCTCATCGAACATGTAGATGTCTGTCTCCCAGCTGCCCCCCCACCACTCCAACGGCAAAGCGCTGCAGCTCTCCTCCGGACACGTGCTCCACCTCACGCTCCCACACCTGGACGAGGGAAGGGGAAAAGGGAGGAAGGCGAAGAGGAAGGAATTAGACGGGGGAAGTGCAACCAGATGGGGTGTGCAAGACTAGCTCGTTGGCCCTGATGGCAAACCGATCAATGTTTTTCCCCCTACCGCCTCTTTATGCACCCACCCTTCTCTGTGAGCACCACGCCCACCACCCCCTTCACCGAAGAGCAAACAAGGGGTACTATAACGCAGAGCGTGGACAATAAAGAGAGTGACAATAGCGAGAGGGGAGATGAAACCCCCCCCATGACCCCCCCCCCAAGGCCCCCCTAAGGCCCCCCTACCCCCCAATCCTCCTCACAGCCCCCCACCCCGCCCCCCAAAATCCCTGGCATGGGCATGGTCCCCCCCATCCTTGGCATGGGCATGGTCCCCCCCTATCCCTACAGTAACCGGGCGGCAGCAACAGTAACCGGGTGGCAGCAACAGTAACCGGGTGGCAGCAACAGTAACCGGGCGCGGCAGCAACAGTGTCTGGGCGGCAGCAACAGTGTCTGGGCGGCAGCAACAGTGTCTGGGCGGCAGCAACAGTGTCTGGGCGGCAGCAACAGTGATGGGGCGGCAGCAACAGTGTCTGGGCGGCAGCAACAGTGTCTGGGCGGCAGCAACAGTGTCTGGGCGGCAACAACAGTGTCTGGGCGGCAACAACAGTGTCTGGGCGGCACCAACAGTGTCTGGGCGGCACCAACAGTGTCTGGGCGGCAGCAACAGTGTCTGGATGGCAGCAACAGTGTCTGGATGGCAGCAACAGTGTCTGGATGGCAGCAACAGTACCTGGGCGGCAGCAACAGTACCTGGGCGGCAGCAACAGTGTATGGACGGAATCAACAGTGTCTGGGGAGCATCAACAGCATCTGGGCGGTAGCAACAGTGTCTGGGCGGCAGCAACAGTAAGGGGGCGGCTGGAACAGTAACCGGGCGGCAGGCTGCTGGAACAGGGGCCAGGCTGAAACCCCGTGGGCCCGAGCTCCCCACCCCAGGCCCGGCCAAACCAGACCAGGCCAGGGCATGGCTATATAGTAGGCATGCCCATACATACAAGCACACATATCAAGTCCTACAATCCTAGCTACACAGACAGATTCTACCACTGAAATTAGTTAAGCAGTTATCATGCGTGCTAGAACATCATAAGCGTAATAAATGAAGGCATGGCAAGGCTATAGGTTTGTGGCATGAGCAGGGTGTGGTTTGAACGCACGTGCAGAGAGTGAAAGCATGTGGAGGAGGGACGGCAAGGGAGGGGGGGGGGGGGGAGAGATGCCACGAGTGAGGAGTGGCAGCTTCTCACCTGGCTGGCTGTTTTGGGCAATGAGTGAGTGGGGGGAGGGAGCATAGCAAGTGAGTGCGGGGAGCATGGCGAGCAAGCGGGGATGGCAGAGGGGTGAACAGAGGGAACAGAGGGAACAAAAGGTGGGTGAACAGTGGGGAAAAAACCGTGGTGTGAACAACGGGGGACGGAGAAACAGTGGTGTGAACATTTCGGGACGGGGAAACAATGGCGTGAACAGTGGGGGACGGGGAAACAATTGGCATGAACAGTGGGGGACGGGGAAACGGTGGTGTGAAAAGTGGGTGAACAGTAAAGGTGAGTGCAGGGGAGCAGAGGTGAGTGCAGGGGAGCAGAGGTGAGTGCAGGGGAGCAGAGGTGAGCGCAGGGGAGCAGAGGTGAGCGCAGGGGAGCAGAGGTGAGCGCAGGGGAGCAGAGGTGAGCGCAGGGGAGCAGAGGTGAGCGCAGGGGAGCAGAGGTGACCGCAGGGGAGCAGAGGTGAGCGCAGGGGAGCAGAGATGAGTGCAGGGGAGCAGAGGTGAGCGCAGGGGAGCAGAGGTGAGCGCAGGGGAGCAGAGGTGAGCGCAGGGGAGCAGAGGTGAGCGCAGGGGAGCAGAGGTGAGCGCAGGGGAGCAGAGGTGAGCGCAGGGGAGCAGAGGTGAGCGCAGGGGAGCAGAGATGAGTGCTGGGGAGCAGTGGGGAAAGGTGAATAAAGGGGAGCGGTGGTGGGGGAAGGTGAAGAGTGGTGATAAGTGGGGGGGGATGGTGAGTGTGGGGAGCAGAGGTGGTGAGTGTGGAGGCAATCTCCCTCGCCTCCCTCCCTCTCACCACGCAACGCAACGCAAGCAACGTACCTTGCGCACTGCAACGCAACGCAAGCAACGTACCTTGCGCACTGCAACGCAACGCAAGCAGCGTACCTTGCGCACTGCACTGGCCGAGCCTCATCCAGACCAGAGCCGAGCCGAACCTCGTCCGACGTCGAGGCCAAGTCCGGCAGACCTCAGCCACCTCTGGGGTGGGAGGGTGGAGGGTGAGAGAGGCGGTGATTGGGGGGGAAGAGGAGGCGAGGGGGGATTAAGGAGGTCAGGGGGGGAGGGCATAACGAGTGCACATCTCAAGCGCGTTTACGAGGTGAGTACGTACGGGGGACAGGGAGGGTGAGAAGAGGGGTGGACAGGAGGTGAGAAGAGAGGACGAGAGGAGGTGAGTACGGGGGACGGACGAGGCGAGGACGAGGGCAGTACAGGAGGGTAACGACGCCTCGTTAAACAGTGGGGGGGGGGGTGGGGGGGGGGGGTGGGGGGGGGGTGGATGCCACGAGTGAGGAGTGGCAGCTTCTCACCTGGCTGGATGTTTCGGGCAATGAGTGAGTGGGGGGAGGGGAGGAGCATAGCACGGTGAGTGCGGGGAGCATGGCGAGCAAGCGGGGATGGCAGAGGGGTGAACAGAGGGAACAGAGGGAACAAAAGGTGGGTGAACAGTGGGGAAAAAACCGTGGTGTGAACAACGGGGGACGGAGAAACAGTGGTGTGAACATTTGGGGACGGGGAAACAATGGCGTGAACAGTGGGGGACGGGGAAACAATGGCGTGAACAGTGGGGGACGGGGAAACGGTGGTGTGAAAAGTGGGTGAACAGTAAAGGTGAGTGCAGGGGAGCAGAGGTGAGTGCAGGGGAGCAGAGGTGAGTGCAGGGAGCAGAGGTGAGTGCAGGGGAGCAGAGGTGAGCGCAGGGGAGCAGAGGTGAGCGCAGGGGAGCAGAGGTGAGCGCAGGGGAGCAGAGGTGAGCGCAGGGGAGCAGAGGTGAGCGCAGGGGAGCAGAGATGAGTGCTGGGGAGCAGTGGGGAAAGGTGAATAAAGGGGAGCGGTGGTGGGGGAAGGTGAAGAGTGGTGATAAGTGGGGGGGGATGGTGAGTGTGGGGAGCAGAGGTGGTGAGTGTGGAGGCAATCTCCCTCGCCTCCCTCCCTCTCACCACGCAACGCAACGCAAGCAACGTACCTTGCGCACTGCAACGCAACGCAAGCAACGTACCTTGCGCACTGCACTGGCCGAGCCTCATCCAGACCAGAGCCGAGCCGAACCTCGTCCGACGTCGAGGCCAAGTCCGGCAGACCTCAGCCACCTCTGGGGTGGGAGGGTGGAGGGTGAGAGAGGCGGTGATTGGGGGGGGGAAGAGGAGGCGAGGGGGGATTAAGGAGGTCAGGGGGGGGAGGGCATAACGAGGGCACAAAACAAGCGCGTTTAGGAGGTGAGTACGGGGGACAGGGGAGGTGAGAAGAGAGGACGAGAGGAGATGAGTACGGGGGGACGGACGAGGCTGAGGAGAGGGGAGTACAGGAGGTGATGACGCCTCGTCATGGTCTCACCTCGTGCCTCTCTCCTCGCCGCGCCGTTGCCCACCTGCCCCGCCACGTGGCCATCCGTGATTGGCTGAGAGGCGGGCGGCGGCGCCACGGTCATACGTTCTTCGTACAACTGGAGGGGGGGGATGGGGAAGAGGGGCACGGAGCTTGGGGGGGCAACTGGAGGGGGGTTCCACCAGCGCGCGACGCGCCGTTCTCCGCAGGGTTAAGGTTGACCGCGGGAAACGGCGGGAAACCGGCAGAAAAGGGCGGGAATCAGGAAAGAAGCAACACGCCGCGCCTGCAGCGCGGAACGCGCACATTGCGCCACATGCAGCGCGGAACGAGCACATTGCGCCGCCTGCAGCGCGGAACGCGCACATCGCCCCGCCTGCAGCGCGGAACGTGCACATTGCGCCGCCTGCAGCGCGGAACGAGCACATCGCGCCGCCTGCAGCGCGGAACGAGCATATCGCCCCGCCTGCAGCGCGGAACAAGCACATTGCCCCGCCTGCAGCGCGGAACAAGCACATCTCCCCGCCTGCAGCGCGGAACGCGCACATCGCCCCGCCTGCAGCACGGAACGAGCACATCGCCCCGCCTGCAGCGCGGAACGCGCACATCGCCCCGCCTGCAGCGCGGAACGCGCACATCGCCCCGCCTGCAGCGCGGAACGCGCACATCGCCCCGCCTGCAGCGCGGAACGCGCACATTGCGCCGCCTGCAGCGCGGAACGCGCACATCGCCCCGCCTGCAGCGCGGAAACGAGCACATTGCGCCGCCTGCAGCGCGGAACGAGCAGGAAACGGAGGGGATCAAGTTGACCGAGGAAGACGGCGGGAAACGGCGGGAAGGAAAACCATGGGAAACCATGGGCAAGAGCGGGAAGCGGCGGGAAAAGGCTGGAAAAGAAGGGAATCAGCGCGGAAAGGGCACTAAGCCGTGCATGGGGCGCGGAGAAAAAGGCAACTCGCCACGCCTGCAGCGAGGAAATGCACTTCGCCGTGCCTGCAGCGCTGAAAAAAGCAACTCGCCGCGCCTGCAGCGCGGAAGACGCACTTGGCCACGCCTCTCAGCTGGCAGTGCCGAGCCTCTCACCAGGCAGTGCCGAGCCTCTCATGGCGCGCGATCCGCCGCCTACCACGTGGCGCGCGATCCGCCGCCTGGTGATGCCGCTGCCTGGTGGGAGAGGTAGGTAAGTGGGAGAGGTAAGTGCTGATCTGATAGGAACATTTGCCGTCAAATATAAAACAAAGAAAGAAGAACAACATAACAGAAATGATAGGACGAGCAAAGCTGAACACAAAAGGAGGCAGTGAAGCAGGAAGCACCCGCTACGAGTTAAGAAGTCCAAGGCGCCTGGTGAGAGTGTTGAGCGGGAAACGGCGGGAAAAGGCAGGAGGCAGAACATGGAGAGGAGAGGAAGGGCCGGGGAAGAGGGAAACTTTAGCTAAAAATATAATCTCACCGTGTTAATATAAATATAAAATCGCATCTAAACAACCGGAGCATCTGCTGGAACGCGGAATAACTCTCACGGGGGCCTAAGCTGCTGCGCCCACCATTCCGTCAGCGGCGTGACATCGGCCATCTGCTGCCGCGGCGCGCCATTCCGCCATCTGCTGCGCGCGCCAATTCGCCTGCTGCTGCGCGCGCCATTCTCCCTGCTGCTGAACGATTTATGACTAAGAGAAACAAAAATAAAAATGCTAAGAGAATGCTACTAAGAGCATTTAGAGGAATGACTATAGAACGCTACTACTAGTGAAACCGTCCAGTGAGAGCGACGCTGGGAGAAGAAGAGCAGTCGAGAGAAAGAGGAGGAGGTTAACAATGGGAGAGTTGAAGCGTTGAAAAACATCTGCTGCTGCGGTGAGAGAAGAAACGCGTCTTTGCACTACAGGACAATATCACGACCGTTCGACGGTGAGGTCCAACCGAGCCACCTCGCGCGCACGCGCTTTCGCTCCGCGCAGCGACCCGTGTGACATGACATCGCATGCTGCAGATTTAACGGACATCTAACGCTATATCTGCAAATGAGAAAAAGCGCGGGGCGAATAAAACGAAAGCACCGCGCAGGGAGCAGCGCGAGGCGCGCATGACGACGACAATTTAACGGGCGCGAAGCGTGCAAGGCGCGCGAACAAACACTGGACTGAGACCTTACTAATGCGAATGACACGGCAGCGGATTAGGTGGTTGTGAGCTAACTGAGAAGGGCGAGGCGAGGAATGCGAGAGAATCGAGTTTGGTGCGGAGAGGAGAGGTGGATGAGATTGAAACCCACCCTCCCACAAAATGTTTTGTAACAAGGAGGGCAGAGAGAAACAAAAGGGAAAGCTAACTCCACACCCTAATCTGAAAATGGAAGAGAGTCAACTGAGTGGATCCGATTTACACGTACAAATGTACGGGCGGAATAAAAAAAACGAAAAAAAAAATGTTGTAAGACGATGCGCGTCACATTCGCCACTCACAGCACAAACGGATGTTCCTATCTGATTGTTACTGTGGTTTGAGGCGCGAGTCGACTTGCAGCCTCCGCAGTTGTGCAGCTACACCTCCAGAGTACTAAGTAATATCTCCTACATGAACATGTTCGCACTTATCAAGTACATTTGAAAAAACAAAAAGGCATTGGCTCATAATAAGGAAATGTTTACAAGATAAGGTTTATAACATATGCACATGGGCTAATTAAATGGATATTATAGGGCCGTATTATTTTCTTTCCTCGTTGAAGCGAAGCGTCTCCATATGTCGTTATAAAACGAACTAACGTCACAGGCAACAAAAAGGTGCGCGTAATTACTTCAAATATAAGGACGACGATGACAAGTACGGGAACAACAACGAGGACGCGGAGGAGGAGGAGGAGGAGGAGGAGGAGGAGGAGGAGGAGGAGGAGGAGGAGGAGGAGGAGGAGGAGGAGGAGGAGGAGGAGGAGGAGGAGGAGGAGAGGAGGAGGAGGAGGGGAGTGAGGATGCGGAGGAGGAGGAGCAGGAGCAGGAGCGGGAGTAGGTGCAGGAGGAGGAGCAGGAGGAGGGGAGGAGGAGGAAACATCAGTGGGAGTACTAGCGGCAAACGGCAGCATGTGCGCAATAGCCTTACCTATCAAGCAGCACTAGGAAACGCTAGCGGCGAACAGTAGCTGTGCGCAACAAGCCTCACCATTGAGCAGCAACATAAAATGTTCAGCAGAAGTATGAAACACCACCACGAGCACAAACAACGAACGGTAGTAGTGAGCATCCGCCTCACCATCGAGCAGCAATGGAAAATGTTCAATAGTCAGTAGGAAACAACAAGAGTACCACAAGCTTGAACGGTAGTTTTTGAGAATCTGGCTTGCAATTGAGCAGCAACAGGAAATGTTCAACAGCAGTAGGAAAAAAACAGCACGAGCAAAAGAAGGGAACGATAGTAGTGAGCATCCGCCTCACCATCGAGCAGCAGCTGAAAATGCAGTAGTAGTGAGCATTCGCCTCACCATCGAGTAGCATCACCATCGAGCAGCAACAGAACAGGGGTGACAACGACCAGGAGGGCGACGACAACGAGGCGGAGGAGGACAAGGAGGAGGAGGAGGGAGGAGGAGGAGGAGGAGGAGGAGGAGGAGGAGGAGGAGGAGGAGGAGGAGGAGGAGGAGGAGGAGGAGGAGGAAGACGACGAGGACCAGGACGAAGAGCAGGAGCAGGAGCAGGGGCAGGAGGAGGAGGAGGAGGAGGAGGAGGAGGAGGAGGAGGAGGAGGAGGAGGAGGAGGAGGAGGAGGAGGAGGAGGAGGAGGACAAGGAGCAGGAGGAGGAGGAGGAGGAGGAGGAGGAGGAGGAGGAGGAGGAGGAGGAGGAGGAGGAGGAGGAGGAGGAGGACAAGGAGGAGGACGAGGAGGAGGAGGAGGGCGACGAGAAAGAAGACGACAACGATGAGGTGGAGGAAGACGAGGAGGAGGAGGAGAACGAGGAGGAGGAGGAAGACGAGGAGGAGGAGGAGGAGGAGGAGGAGGAGGAGGAGGAGGAGGAGGAGGAGGAGTGAGGAGGAGGAGGAGGAGGAGGAGGAGAACGAGGAGGACGAGGAGGAGGAGGAGAAGGAGGAGTAGGAGGAGGAAGACGAGAAGGAGGAGGAGGAAGAGGAGGAGGAGGAGGAGGAGGAGGAGGAGGAGGAGGAGGAGGAGGAGGAGGAGGAGGAGGAGGAGGAGGAGGAGGAGGAGGAAACACCAGTATGAGCACAAACAGCAAACAGTTGTACTTAGCATCCGCCTCACAATCGAGCAGCAACAAAAAATACTCAGCAGCAGTATGAAACACCATCACGAGCACAAGCAGCAAACGGTAGTAGTGAGCATCCGCCTCACCATCAAGCAACAACAGATAATATCCAGCAGCAGTAGGAAACACCAGCACGAGCACAAGCAGCGAACTGTAGTAGTGAGAAACCACCTCACCATCGAGCAGCAACTGAAGATGTTCAGCAGCCGTAGGAAACACAAGCACGAGCACAAGTAGCGAAAGGTAGTAGTCAGCATCCGCCCTCACCATCGAGAAGCAACGGAAAATGTTCAGCAGCAGTAGAAAACACCAGCACGAACACAAGCAGCGAACGATAGTAGTGAGCATCCGCCCTCACCATCGAGCACCAGCTGAAAATGCAGTAGTAGTGAGCATTCGCCTCACCATCGAGCAGCAACGGAAAATGCTAAACAGCACTAGGAAACACCAGCACGAGCAGAAGTAGCGAACGACAGTAGTGAGCATTCGCCTCACCATCGAGCAGCAACGGAAAATGCTCAGCAGCACTAGGATACACAGCACGAGCACAAGGAGCCGGCGAACGGCAACAGTGAGCATTCGCCTCACCATCGAGCAGCAATATAAAATGTTCAGCAGTGATAAGAAGCAACCGGACCAGCACAAGCAGCGAATGGTAGTAGTGAGCATCTGCCTCGCCATCGAGCAGCAACAGAACAGGTGTGACAAGGATGGTGAAGGTGACAACGACGAGGAGGAAGAGGGCAGGGAGGAGGAAGACGACGACGAGGAGGACCAGGACGAGGAGCTGGAGCAGGAGCTGGAGCAGGAGCAGGAGCAGGAGGAGAAGGAGGAAGAGGAGGAGGAAGAGGAGGAGGAGGAGGAGGAGGAGGAGGAGGAGGAGGAGGAGGAGGAGGAGGAGGAGGAGGAGGAGGAGGAGGAGGAGGAAAAGGAGGAGGAGGAGGAGGAGGAGGAAGAGGAGGAGGAGGACGAGGATGAGGAGGAAGACGAGGAGGAGGAGGAGGAGGAGGAGTAGGAGTAGGAGGAGAAGGAGGAGGAGGAGGAGGAGGAGGAGGAGGAGGAGGAGGAGGAGGAGGAGGAGGAGGAGGAGGAGGAGGAGGAGGAGGAGGAGGAGGAGGGCGACGAGAAAGAAGTCGACGACGATGAGGTGGAGGAAGACGAGGAGGAGAAGGAGAACGAGGAGTAGGAGGAGGAAGACGAGAAGGAGGAGGAGGAAGAGGAGGAGGAGGAGGAGGAGGAGGAGGAGGAGGAGGAGGAGGAGGAGGAGGAGGAGGAGGAGGAGGAGGAGGAGGAGGAAACACCAGTATGAGCACAAACAGCAAAACAGTTGTACTTAGCATCCGCCTCACAATCGAGCAGCAACAGAAAATACTCAGCAGCAGTATGAAACACCAGCACGAGCACAAGCAGCGAACTGTAGTAGTGAGAAACCACCTCACCATCGAGCAGCAACTGAAGATGTTCAGCAGCCGTAGGAAACACCAGCACGAGCACAAGCAGCGAAAGGTAGTAGTCAGCATCCGCCTCACCATCGAGAAGCAACGGAAAATGTTCAGCAGCAGTAGAAAACATCAGCACGAAAACAAGCAGCGAACGATAGTAGTGAGCATCCGCCTCACCATCGAGCAGCAGCTGAAAATGCAGTAGTAGTGAGCATTCGCCTCACCATCGAGCAGCAACGGAAAATGCTAAACAGCACTAGGAAACACCAGCACGAGCAGAAGTAGCGAAGGGCAGTAGTGAGCATTCGCCTCACCATCGAGCAGCAACGGAAAATGCTCAGCAGCACTAGGATACACCAGCACGAGCACAAGGAGCGAACGGCAACAGTGAGCATTCGGCCTCACCATCGAGCAGCAATATAAAATGTTCAGCATCGATAAGAAGCAACCGGACCAGCACAAGCAGCGAATGGTAGTAGTGAGCATCTGCCTCGCCATCGAGCAGCAACAGAACAGGTGTGACAAGGACGGGGAAGGCGACGACGACGAGGAGGAAGAGGGCAGGGAGGAGGAAGACGACGACGAGGAGGACCAGGACGAGGAGCTGGAGCAGGAGCAGGAGCAGGAGGAGAAGGAGGAGGAGGAGGAGGAGGAGGAGGAGGAGGAGGAGGAGGAGGAGGAGGAGGAGGAGGAGGAGGAGGAGGAGGAGGAGGACGACGACGACGACGACGACCATGACGACAACGACGAGGAGGAGAAGGACGAGGAGGACGAGGAGGATGAGGAGGAGGAGGAGGAGGAGGAGGAGGAGGAGGAGGAGGAGGAGGAGGAAACACCAGCATGAGCACAAGCAGCAAATAGTAGTACTGAGCATCCGCCTCACAATCGAGAAGCAACAGAAAACACTCAGCAACAGTAGGAAACACCAGTACAAGCACAAGCAGCGAACGGTAGTAGTGAGTAGTCGCTTCACCATCGAGGAGCAACAGGAAATACTTAGTAGCAGTAGGCAACACTAGCACGAGCACAAGCAGCGGACGGTAGTAGTGAACATCCGCCTCACCATCAAGCAGCAACAGAAAGTATTCAGCAGCAGTAGGAAACACCAGCACGAGCACAAGCAGTGAACAGTAGTAGTGTGCATTCGCCTCACCATCGAGCAACAATATAAAATATCCAGCAGTAGTGGAAAACACCATCACGAGCACAAGCAGCAAACGGTAGTAGTGAGCATCCGCCTCACCATCAAGCAACAACAGATAATATCCAGCAGCAGTAGGAAACACCAGCACGAGCACAAGCAGCGAACTGTAATAGTGAGAATCCGCCTCACCATCGAGCAGCAACTGAAGATGTTCAGCAGCCGTAGGAAACACCAGCACGAGCACAAGCAGCGAAAGGTAGTAGTCAGCATCCGCCTCACCATCGAGAAGCAACGGAAAATGTTCAGCAGCAGTAGAAAACACCAGCACGAACACAAGCAGCGAAAGATAGTAGTGAGCATCCGCCCTAACCATCGAGCAGCAGCTGAAAATGCAGTAGTAGTGAGCATTCGCCTCACCATCGAGCAGCAACGGAAAATGCTAAATAGCACTAGGAAACACCAGCACGAGCAGAAGTAGCGAACAACAGTAGTGAGCATTCGCCTCACCATCGAGCAGCAACGGAAAATGCTCAGCAGCACTAGGATACACCAGCACGAGCACAAGGAGCGAACGGCAGCAGTGAGTATTCGCCTCACCATCGAGCAGCAATATAAATGTTCAGCAGCGATAAGAAGCAAACCGGACCAGCACAAGCAGCGAATGGTAGTAGTGAGCATCTGCCTCGCCATCGAGCAGCAACAGAACAGGTGTGACAAGGACGGGGAAGGCGGACGAAGACGAGGAGGGAGGGAGGCAAGGGAGGTAGGGAAGACGACGACGACGAGGACCAGGACGAGGAAGCAGGCAGCAGGAACAGCAGGAGCAGGAGCAGGAGCAGGAGGAGAAGGAGGAAGAGGAGGAGGAAGAGGAGGAGGAGGTGGAGGAGGAGGAGGAGGAGGAGGAGGAGGAGGAGGAGGAGGAGGAAAAGGAGGAGGAGGAGGAGGAAGAGGAGGAGGAGGAGAGGGACGAGGATGAGGAGGAAGACGAGGAGGAGGAGGAGGAGGAGGAGGAGGAGGAGGAGGAGGAGGAGGAGGAGGAGGAGGAGGAGGAGGAGGAGGAGGAGGAGGAGGAGGAGAGGAGGAGGACCCATGACGACGACGAGGAGGAGAAAGACGAGGAGGACGAGGAGGAAGAGGAGGAGGAGGAGGAGGAGGAGGAGAGGAGGAGGAGGAGGAGGAGGAGGAGGAGGAGGAGGAGGAGGAGGAGGAAGAGGAGGAGGAGGAGGAGGAGGAAAAGGAGGAGGAGGAGGAGGAGGAACTGTACTGTATGGTTGTCCACTCGCTCAGTTTTTGTTGGCAGAGTGGTTCGGAGCGGCAGTGCGTGGTGCTGGGCCGTTGTGTGTGGTCATTGGTGGTGTTGAGTGCCCGTAAGTGGTGACGAGCCGGTGACGAGTGGTGATGAACGGTGTAGTCTGTCTACGGTGTGACGTTGATGTCCGTCTCCCGCCTCTCGACTACTGCAAACAAGGATGCCTGAGCATCATGGAAACGGTTGTGAGGACTGTACAACACTGGTGGTTGTGCTTGTCTAGTGATTCTTAACCATTGTGTCATCCCAACGATCAAGATAGGTTCAACGTGTTTCATTTCTTCGCATAGCATCCTCTTGTATCACTTTACCGTACATTGTGCAAAAATTCTGGAGACAAAGCATTCTGAACTTCAGCAGCAGCACAAACAATGACATCGGCAGCAACAGCAGGGCAGCAGTAGCAAGCAGCAACAGCAGAGCAGCAGAAAGCAGTGACGGCAGCAGCAGAGTAGCAAGCAGTGACGGCAGCAGCAGGAGCAAGCAAGCATTGACAGCAGCAGCAGGAGCAAGCAAGCAGTGACTGCAGCAGCAGGAGTAAGCAAGCAGTGACGGCAGCAGCAGGAAGTAAGCAAGCAGTGACGGCAGCAGCAGGAGCAAGCAAGCAGTGACGGCAGCAGCAGGAGTAAGCAAGCAGTGACAGCAGCAGCAGGAGCAAGCAAGCAGTGACGGCAGCAGCAGGAGGTAAGCAAGCAGTGACGGCAGCAGCAGGAGTAAGCAAGCAGTGACGGCAGCAGCAGGAGCAAGCAAGCAGTGACGGCAGCAGCAGGAGTAAGCAAGCAGTGACGGCAGCAGCAGGAGGAAGCAAGCAGTGACGGCAGCAGCAGTAGCAAGCAAGCAGTGTCGGCAGCAGCAAGTAGCAAGCAAGCAGTGACGGCAGTAGCAGGAGCAAGCTAGCAGGGTTTAAAGGTGTATAGCGACCTGGCCGACTTTCCCGCAGTTGTATTGCAAGGGGAGCTGGTTGGGGGGTGTGATATTGTGCTGCAGATGCACGAGAGTGGGGAGTTGAAAGAGGTGTTTGCAGAGAAAGGGGTGCTGGGAGGGGGCGGGGAAGGGAGATGCACCAGGAGCAGTGACGGCAGCAGCAGCAGCGGCGGATGGGCAGGTTGATGGGGCGAAGGGGTTGCAAGAGCGGCTGAAGGCACTCCTCTCGTCTTCGCCTACCATGCTGTTCATGAAGGTATGTTGGAGTAGAGTGGGTTGGGGCGTATGTGATAATCTGTATCGTCCTGCCTTAGCTAATAAAGATGATTGAAGGCACTCGTCTCGTCTTCGCCTTCCTCTCATCCCTTCCTCTCATCCCTTCCTCTCATCCCTTCCTCTCATCTCCCTTTCTCTCATCCCTTCCTCTCATCCCTTCCTCTCATCCCGTCCTCTCTGCTGCGTTACCTCTCAGGGAACACCGGAGGAGCCGCGGTGTGGGTTCAGCCGCAAGGTGGTGGATGCAGTCCAGTTCAGACATGGACTCATCGCATGTTTCCTTCCTTCTTCCCCATGGCTTGTCCTCACGGCCTTGCCTTGCTTTCCCAGGGCACACCAGAGGAGCCGCGGTGTGGGTTCAGCCGCAAGGTGGTGGATGCACTCACGTCAGAAGGTATTTCCTTTGGCAGTTTTGACATTCTCACGGACGAGGCAGTGCGGGCAGGGGCTGAACACATGCCTTTACACCCCCCCAACCCCCCTTCCCCTGCCTTCCTGTGCTATGTACCCATGGACCATCCCCATCCCTTGTTATTCAGGGAACACCGCAGGAGCCCCGGTTGTGGGTTCAGCCGCAAGGTGGTGGATGCAGTCAAGTCAGACATGGACTCATCGCATGTTTCCCCCCCTCTTCCCCCCTTCTTCCCCCCCTCTTCCCCCCTTCTTCCCCACCCTCTTCCCCCCCTCTTCCCCATGGCTTGTCCTCACGGCCTTGCCTTGCTTTCCAGGGCACACCTGAGGAGCCGCGGTGTGGGTTCAGCCGCAAGGTGGTGGATGCACTTACGTCAGAAGGCATTTCCTTTGGCAGTTTTGACATTCTCACGGAATGAAGCAGTGAGGCAGGGGCTGAAGGAGCTCTCCAATTGGCCCACGTACCCCCAGGTGTACCACAAGGGCGAGCTGATTGGTGGATGCGATATTGTGCTTGAAATGAAGGCTAATGGGGAGCTTAAAGCCGAGCTTGGAGGGTGAAGTTCACTGTACTGTGTAGCTAAATCATTTTCATATACCCGGTAGCACCAAGGTAGAGCTGATTGGCATCTGTTTTATAACCCAAACAATGTGCCCATCTTTTGTGTCACTCGCAGTCCGATATGCCACTTTTTCCTCCAAGCTCCAACAGCAACAGATGCTACTACAGCCTGAAAATCATGCTCCAACAACTTCATTTGTTATCCTGCAGCAATGAATTGGCGCAGACGACTCTCAAGGTCAGGTCAAAAGTCAGCTGGTACGGCCAGTCCTACCATTATGCAAACACTCGTCAGAGACACGACAGCTAGAGTCCTGCGAACCAACGCTCACGTAAAGCACAATGCCTAACACAATCGTCCTAAATACGCTTAGCATGTGAGCGTTGCTTTCAAAAAGTTAACTCCCATGACTGTACCCTCCAGCACAGTTGTCGATCCGCATACGGATGCCATGGGTGGGGTAGGGTCTAGGGATGGATGGCAAGTTGGCAATGGCCAATGCCGATCACTCATCGAGGTACGGTAGTGTAGGTGCCACTGCTAGCAGACTTGTGCTCCCATCCCATGAGTGCACCCTTTCATGGGCATGCCAAAACGGCCAATGCCATGCCCGCACTCAGTCGTCCAGGTAGTAGTAGGTGCCGGCATTCTTCTGCTCGCGGTCCTTGACAGAATCCATCTGTTGATGCGCGGCCGAAAGTTGGTGGGGTCGCGCCGGAACGTGATGTCCAGTTGCTGGGGGGGGGAGGGTGGTGGTGGTTGGGGGTGGGAGGAAACGATGGTTGTGAGGGGCACGGTAGCGAGAAGAGGTGAAAACGGGAGGGAGGAAAGGGGTTCCATGAGTGCACCCTACAAGCGCACAGCTCCCTTGGGCATGCCGGAAGAGGTTCATGCCGCTGTTGAGCGACTTGAGGAGTGCAAGCCGTGCAATCCACGGACGGCTGCCCCTCGTAGACAATCACGCGGTCCGCCAGGTACGTGGCCATGATGAAGTCGTGCTCCACCACAAAGGGGGGTTCTCACTCACACAGCAAGCAACAAGGGGTCTCTCACCGAGAGGAAGAGGTTCATGCCGCTGTTGAGCGACTGGGGCCGTGCGCGCCGTGCAGTCCACCGACGGCTGCCCCTCGTACACGATGACGCGGTCCGCCAGGTACGTGGCCATGATGAAGTCGTGCTCCACCACAAACGCCGTCTTTCTTGGCGTGCAGGATGAAGCGCTTGATCACCTTGGCCGCCACAATGCGCTGCTCTGAATCCAAGTAGGCTGAGGGTTCATCAATCAGGTAGATGTCGGCAGGCTGGAGGAAAGGGGGTGTGGGGGGTTGGAAGTGGAAGTGGAATGTTAAAGGGAGGGGAGGGAATGAACGGCTTGATCACCTTGGCTGCCACGATGCGCTGCTCCGAATCCAGATAGGCCGAGGCTCGTCTATGAGGTAGATGTCGGCAGGCTGGGAGGAGAGAGAAGAAGGAACGCATTGTGCAGGATGAACGGCTTGATGACCTTGACCGTCACGATGCGCTGCTCTTGAGTCGAGATAGGCCGAGGGTTCATCGATCAGATAGATGTCGGCAGGCTGGAGAAAGGAGAAAGTGGAAGAGGGGGAGAAAGGGAAAAAAGGGAAGGATGAAACCGCTTGATGACCGTGGCTGCCACAATGCACTGCTCTTGAGTCGAGATAGGGCCGATGGATCGTCAATGAGGTAGATGCCACCAAGGCAGAGGGAAATAGCGACGCACCTTCCCAAAGCAGAGGGAAATAGCCACGCACCTCCCTAGGCAGAGGGAAATAGCCAAGCACCTTCCCAAGGCAGAGGGAAATAGCCACGCACCTTCCCAAGGCAGAGGGAAATAGCCACCGCACTTTCCCAAAACAGAGTAATATAGCCACGCACCTTCCCAAGGCAGAGGGAATAGCCACGCACCTTCCAAGGCAGAGGGAAATAGCCACGCACCTTCCAAGGCAGAGGGAAATAGCCACGCACCTTCCCAAAGCGGAGGGAAATAGCCACGCACCTTCCAAGGCAGAGGGAAATAGCCACGCACCTTCCCAAGGCAGAGGGAAATAGCCACGCACCTTCCCAAGGCATAGCGAAATAGCCACGCACCTTCCCAAAACAGAGGGAAATAGCGACGCACCTTCCCAAGGCAGAGGGAAATAGCCACGCGCTGCAGCTCTCCTCCTGACAAATTCACCACCTCCTGGCGAGCAGGGGGTCGATCTGCATGAGACAACTTCTGAGACGCCCCAAAACCGTCCAAAACCGCCCCAAAACCACCCCAAAACCGCCCCCAAACACCCCAAAACCGCCCCAAAACCGCCTCAGACCACCTTAAAATCCCAAGAGGGACTTGATGCACCCTTCCTTACCTTGCCAAGGCACAGCGTGATGGCCACGCGCTGCAGCTCCCCTCCTGAGATTTTCACCACCTCCTGGTCGAGCAGGGGGTCGATCTGCATGGGGCAACTTCTGAGCCGCCCCAGAAACCGCCCCAAACCACCTTGAACGCCGCCAGGTCTCCAAGAGAGAGTTGACCAACCCACCCACTCCTTCCTTACCTTTCCCAGACAAAGGGTAATAGCCACGCGCTGCAGCTCCCCACCCGACAAATTCACCACCTCCTGGTCCAGGAGCGGGTCGATCTGCATGGGGCGCAGCACGTCGGTGTTGAACTGCGGTGGTGGAACGAGTCTCGGATCTTGGAGTGCAGCAGCGCGCGCACGCTGTGGGGGAACTTGGGGGAGATCTTCTGCGGCTTGTACGACACGTTGAACTCCGGGAGGTCCTCGGCCTCCTTGCGGTCTCCTCGTCCGGGTCAGCCTTTAAGAGACCAGCCTGTAAGGGGTTGAGAAGGACACAGGAGAGCGGAAAGGAGAGGATACGAGAGGGTATGAGAGGGGGAACTTGCGGCTGATCTTCTGCGGCTTGTACGACACGTTGAACTCCGGGAGGTCCTCAGCTTCTTTCCCGGTCTCCTCGTCTGGATCTGCCTTCAAGAGGCCGGCCTGGAGGGGTTCAGAACGAGACAGGAGAGGAGAGGGGAGGAGGGAGGAGAGTAACGCAGAAAACTTGGGGCTGGGCTGGTCTTCTTGCGGCCTGTACAACACACTGAAATCCGGGAGATCTCGGCTTCCTTGCCAGTTGATTCGTCCGGTGTCGGCCTTTAACAGACCAGCCTGCGTGATATACAAGGGAGAAGGGAGACAAGGCACGGGGGATCGAAGTGGAAAGGGAAGAAAAAGGGACGGAGAATGAGAATGGGAAGGGAAACTTGGGGCTGGGTGGTCTTCTGCGGCCTGTACGACGCGTTGAACTCGGGAAAACCTTGGGCCTCCTTGCCGGTTTCCCTCATCTGGTCCGGCCTTGAGAGAGCCGCCTGGAAGGGAGAGAGGAGGGATGGAAGATGGATCATGGAAGGGACAGGGAGGAGAGAGAGCCAAGAGACGTGCAAGCTGGCGATATTGGGAGACGCGGAAACGGGAAGGAAACGGGAATTTAGGAGCCAACGACTAGCCCAACCGGTATGCATATGACACAAGAGTCGGCCTATTAGCTCTTCGGAAGCATGTGGCATGGTGCGGGCACATGCAAGTTGGGCTACCGGCCTACCACCAGCCATGCACAGGTGAGAGAGTTGGCCTACCAGCATGCGGATAAAGGTGGTTTCGCCGGTGCCATTCTCCCCCAGCATCACCACGATCTGCGAGTCTGTGCCTTGCGTCCACTGCCATCCCTACCTATGGTGCACACATGTGCCTACCAGCATGCGCACCCCATGAGAGACAGCTTCCCTACCAGCATGCGGATAAAGGTGGTCTTGCCGGTGCCGTTCTCCCCCAGCATCACCACGATCTGTGAGTCCGTGAAGTCACCAGGTTCCACCGTCAGCTTGAATCCGCCCTGCTTCTTGACCATGCGCGGGTACTTGTAGCGCGTGTACGTCTTGGCCTCTTCAGGGTTATCGACTGGGTTTCAGCAACCTGAGATGGAATGGAGAGGGGGGGAGGGGAAGGAGGGGCTTGAACCCGCCCTGCTTCTTGACCATGCGCGGGTACTTGTAGCGCGTGTACGTCTTGGCTTCTTCAGGATTATCCACCGGGGTTTCAGCCACCTGAATGGGAGCAATGATGGGTTGAGATGGGTCAGAAATAAGGGGTAATTTAGCTGCAAAGCTTGAACCCGCCCTGCTTCTTGATCATGCGCGGGTACTTGTACCGCGTTGTACGTCTTGGCCTCTTCAGGATTATCCACCGGGGTTTCAGCACCTGAGATGGAATGAAGGGGGGTGAAAGAATGGAGTGAGGGAGGGGAAGGAGGAGGTTGAACCCGCCGTGCTTCTTGATCATGCCCAAATACCTGTACCGAACCGACTGTACGTCTTGGCCTCCCTCCTCAGGATTATCCACCGGGGTTTTCGTCCCCTGATGAGAGGGGGAAAGGAGAAGAGGCACGGGCGGAGGAGAGGGAGTGGAGGGGAGGAAAGGAGTGCTTTGAGGAACCTGAGACAGCACACAGAGAGCTTCAACACGCCCTGCTTCTTGATCATGCTGTGGGTACTTGTACCAAGTATATGTCTTGGCCTCGTCCGTTTCTTCCAACTCTGAAATGAATGAGCTTTTCCGTCTCAAAAATGTGGGTTCTGACTTCTGAGTCGACTTTTGTGTCTTAAGTCGGCTCAAAAGATGAAAAAAAAATATGCTCATGCCCCTATCTAACGAAGTTGGAAACTGAGGCAAGGAAGAAACATCCATTCACAAAGAGGAGCGACAGACAAGCAGACCCACACGGAAGGTGAGCGATCGTCCTTGAAAACGCAGGTTTCCAGCTGGTATGAAGCCGGCAAGAAAGATGTTCATTCCCTCGAGCACAGAGAAACACAAAATTCCCCTCTTTCAAGTCAACACCTAAAGCAGACTCACCCTGAAGGTGAGCGGCTCGTCTCGGAAGCGCAGGTTCTCGGTCAGAACAAAGCCGGCAAGGAAGATGTTGATGCCCCCTCGCACTGCTGATTGAATTCTAAAGGTGTGCCTGCAATATGAAAATTTTGATGTCCCGACGGACACGGTGACACCCTCACGGCAGACTCACCCTGAATGTGAGCGACTCGTCTCGGAAGCGCAGGTTCTCGGTTGGCACGAAGCCAGCCAGGAAGATGTTGATGCCCTCTCGCACGGAGAAGGGCAGCGTGACCACCCCGTAGGCACCGGGCTTGCCGTAGAGGCAGCAGATGAAGTCCGAGAGATAGTCGAGCACACTGAGATCGTGCTCCACCACAATGACGTATCTGGGGGGGGATGGGGATGATGGAATGGGGAGTGAGTGGCAGGGCAGTGGGTGCATGGGGTGATAGCGCAGAAAAACCGCCCTGTATGCCCCTGGCTTGCCGTAGAGGCAGCACATGAAGTGGGAGAGATAGTCGAGCACACTCAGGTCACGCTCCACCACAATCACGTATCTGGAACGGTGGGGGATGCATGGAGGAATGGGGGAATGAAAGGGAGCAAGGGAAAGGGCAGTGGTGTAACAATATCGTACCACTGGTTTCATATTCCTATTCGATGTTCAAGTATTTTAGCACTAATGGATTTGGTTCAACTAGCTTGTTATTCGGTTACATATTGACTCCCTTCGAGGGGTTCAAGAACTTACTAAGGGAGTCAATATGTAACCGAATGACCAGCTATTTGAATCAAATCCAACAGTGTTTAAATACTTGAGCATTGAATAGGAATATGAAACAAATGACCAGCTATGACCAGCTATTTGAATCCCTCTTTCCCTTGCTCTATCCACCAACCATTGATCGCACCTGTTCGGACCACTGACCATACCTGTCGGGGCGCAGCAGCGAGCGGATGACCTGCGCTGCCTTCAATCGCTGCCGCACGTCCAGGTAGCTGGAAGGCTCATCGAACATGTAGATGTCTCCCAGCTGCCCCGCCACCACTCCAATGGCAAACCGTTGCAGCTCGCCTCCTGACAGATGCTCCACCTCACGCTCCCACACCTGAAAGGAGTGGTGAATCGGGATGAGGATAGGTGATTAGGTGGGGAAGAGGAGAGGGCTCATCGAACATGTAGATGTCTGTCTCCCAGCTGCCCCCCCACCACTCCAACGGCAAAGCGCTGCAGCTCTCCTCCGGACACGTGCTCCACCTCACGCTCCCCACCTGGACGAGGGAAGGGGAAAAGGGAGGAAGGCGAAGAGGAAGGAATTAGACGGGGGAAGTGCAACCAGATGGGGGTGTGCAAGACTAGCTCGTTGGCCCTGATGGCAAACCGATCAATGTTTTTCCCCCTACCGCCTCTTTATGCACCACCCTTCTGTGAGCACCACGCCCACCACCCCCTTCACCGAAGAGCAAACAAGGGGTACTATAACGCAGAGCGTGGACAATAAAGAGAGTGACAATAGCGAGAGGGGAGATGAAACCCCCCCATGACCCCCCCCAAGGCCCCCCTAAGGCCCCCCTACCCCCCCAATCCCCCCCAAGGCCCCCCACAAGGCCCCCCAAAACCCCCCTCCCATGGCCCCCAATCCCCCCCCCCCCCCCCCCCCCCCCCCAAAATCCTGGCATGGGCATGGTCCCCCCCTATCCCTACAGTAAACGGGCGGCAGCAACAGTAACGGGTGCAGCAACAGTAACCGGGTGGCAGCAACAGTAAACGGGCGCGGCAGCAACAGTGTCTGGGCGGCAGCAACAGTGTCTGGCGGCAGCAACAGTGTCTGGGCGGGCAGCAACAGTGTCTGGGCGGCAGCAACAGTGTCTGGGCGGCAGCAACAGTGATGGGCGGCAGCAACAGTGTCTGGGCGGCAGCAACAGTGTCTGGGCGGCAGAACAGTGTCTGGCGGCAACAACAGTGTCTGGCGCAACAACAGTGTCTGGGCGGCAACAACAGTGTCTGGGCGGCACCAACAGTGTCTGGGCGGCACCAACAGTGTCTGGGCGGCAGCAACAGTGTCTGGATGGCAGCACAGTGTCTGGATGGCAGCAACAGTACCTGGGCGGCAGCAACAGTACCTGGGCGGCAGCAACAGTACCTGGGCGGCAGCAACAGTGTATGGACGGAATCAACAGTGTCTGGGGAGCATCAACAGCATCTGGGCGGTAGCAACAGTGTCTGGGCGGCAGCAACAGTAAGGGGGCGGCTGGAACAGTAACCGGGCGGCAGGCTGCTGGAACAGGGGCCAGGCTGAAACCCCGTGGGCCCGAGCTCCCACCCCAGGCCCGGCCAAACCAGACCAGGCCAGGGCATGGCTATATAGTAGGCATGCCCATACATACAAGCACACATATCAAGTCCTACAATCCTAGCTACACAGACAGATTCTACCACTGAAATTAGTTAAGCAGTTATCATGCGTGCTAGAACATCATAAGCGTAATAAATGAAGGCATGGCAAGGCTATAGGTTTGTGGCATGAGCAGGGTGTGGTTTGAACGCACGTGCAGAGAGTGAAAGCATGTGGAGGAGGGACGGCAAGGGAGGGGGGGGGGGGAGAGATGCCACGAGTGAGGAGTGGCAGCTTCTCACCTGGCTGGCTGTTTTGGGCAATGAGTGAGTGGGGGGAGGGAGCATAGCAAGTGAGTGCGGGGAGCATGGCGAGCAAGCGGGGATGGCAGAGGGGTGAACAGAGGGAACAGAGGGAACAAAAGGTGGGTGAACAGTGGGAAAAAAACCGTGGTGTGAACAACGGGGGACGGAGAAACAGTGGTTGTGAACATTTCGGGACGGGGAAACAAAACATGGCGTGAACAGTGGGGGACGGGGAAACAATGGCATGAACAGTGGGGACGGGGAAACGGTGGTGTGAAAAGTGGGTGAACAGTAAAGGTGAGTGCAGGGAGCAGAGGTGAGTGCAGGGGAGCAGAGGTGAGTGCAGGGGAGCAGAGGTGAGTGCAGGGGAGCAGAGGTGAGCGCAGGGGAGCAGAGGTGAGCGCAGGGGAGCAGAGGTGAGCGCAGGGGAGCAGAGGTGAGCGCAGGGGAGCAGAGGTGAGCGCAGGGGGAGCAGAGGTGACCGCAGGGGAGCAGAGGTGAGCGCAGGGGAGCAGAGATGAGTGCAGGGGAGCAGAGGTGAGCGCAGGGGAGCAGAGGTGAGCGCAGGGGAGCAGAGGTGAGCGCAGGGGAGCAGAGGTGAGCGCAGGGGAGCAGAGGTGAGCGCAGGGGAGCAGAGGTGAGCGCAGGGGAGCAGAGGTGAGCGCAGGGAGCAGAGATGAGTGCTGGGAGCAGTGGGGAAAGGTGAATAAAGGGGAGCGGTGGGGGGGAAGGTGAAGAGTGGTGATAAGTGGGGGGGGATGGTGAGTGTGGGGAGCAGAGGTGGTGAGTGTGGAGGCAATCTCCCTCGCCTCCCTCCCTCTCACCACGCAACGCAACGCAAGCAACGTACCTTGCGCACTGCAACGCAACGCAAGCAACGTACCTTGCGCACTGCAACGCAACGCAAGCAGCGTACCTTGCGCACTGCAATGGCCGAGCCTCATCCAGACCAGAGCCGAGCCGAACCTCGTCGACGTCGAGGCCAAGTCCGGCAGACCTCAGCCACCTCTGGGGTGGGAGGGTGGAGGGTGAGAGAGCGGTGATTGGGGGGGAAGAGGAGGCGAGGGGGGATTAAGGAGGTCAGGGGGGGAGGGCATAACGAGTGCACATCTCAAGCGCGTTTACGAGGTGAGTACGTACGGGGGACAGGGGAGGGTGAGAAGAGGGGTGGACAGGAGGTGAGAAGAGAGGACGAGAGGAGGTGAGTACGGGGGACGGACGAGGCGAGGAGAGGCAGTACAGGAGTAACGACGCCTCGTTAAACAGTGGGGGGGGGGGGGGGGGGGGGGGATGCCACGAGTGAGGAGTGGCAGCTTCTCACCTGGCTGGATGTTTCGGGCAATGAGTGAGTGGGGGGAGGGAGCATAGCAAGTGAGTGCGGGGAGCATGGCGAGCAAGCGGGGATGGCAGAGGGGTGAACAGAGGGAACAGAGGGAACAAAAGGTGGGTGAACAGTGGGGAAAAAACCGTGGTGTGAACAACGGGGGACGGAGAAACAGTGGTGTGAACATTTGGGGACGGGGAAACAATGGCCGTGAACAGTGGGGGACGGGGAAACGGTGGCTGTGAACAGTGGGACGGGGAAACGGTGGTGTGAAAAGTGCAGGAACAGTAAAGGTGAGTGCAGGGGAGCAGAGGTGAGTGCAGGGGAGCAGAGGTGAGTGCAGGGGAGCAGAGGTGAGCGCAGGGGAGCAGAGGTGAGCGCAGGGGAGCAGAGGTGGAGCGCAGGGGAGCAGAGGTGAGCGCAGGGGAGCAGAGGTGAGCGCAGCGGAGAGAGCAGAGATGAGTGCTGGGGAAGCAGTGGGGAAAGGTGAATAAAGGGGAGCGGTGGTGGGGGAAGGTGAAGAGTGGTGATAAGTGGGGGGGGATGGTGAGTGTGGGGAGCAGAGGTGGTGAGTGTGGAGGCAATCTCCCTCGCCTCCTCCCTCTCACCACGCAACGCAACGCAAGCAACGTACCTTGCGCACTGCAACGCAACGCAAGCAAACGTACCTGCGCACTGCACTGGCCGAGCCTCCCAGACCAGAGCCGAGCCGAACCTCGTCCGACGTCGAGGCCAAGTCCGGCAGACTCAGCCACCTCTGGGGTGGGAGGGTGGAGGGTGAGAGAGGCGGTGATTGGGGGGGGGAAGAGGAGGCGAGGGGGGATTAAGGAGGTCAGGGGGGGAGGGCATAACGAGGGCACAAAACAAGCGCGTTTAGGAGGTGAGTACGGGGGACAGGGGAGGTGAGAA